CCCCAAAACCCCAAAACCCCACACATCAATTTTTTGATAAATTGAGAAGAAAAGTAATAGAAAAATGTTCTTTCAAATTCAGAATAAGTATATTGATCAAAAATAGGTATATATATTCGTCAGAAAATAGCTTATCAATATAATCATTAAATCTAATGGAAAACTAAAGTTTGAAAAGTTTGCTACTTGAACAGCAATAAAATGCTGCTTATCTCATTGAAAAAGACTCAAAGGCCCCAATGCCATTGAAACACATAGATTTTAAAGTGACAATAGAGCAAAGAGTTGCTGCTATTGAAATGACTCAAAAGTATCAAAATATTGAGGATTGTCCAATAGAAACCATCTTTTTGTTCCCTTGTGATGTATAATCAGTCGTGAGCAACATGCAAATTGAATTCATTTTGGAAGATGGATCAAATAGATTAATAGAGACCGTTATCGATAGAAGAGAAAAAGTTGAATAGAAATATGAAGACAGCGTTGCTCAAGGAAAGACTGCAGTAACAGGATCTTATACTAAACTACTAAGAGACATGATCAGAGTTAACATTGGAAACTTTCCTCCCAGGTCAGAGGCGATATTAAAGATGAAGTTCTTTACATATTTGACTATTGAAGATCTCAGTTACTGCTTTAGATTCCCTTTAAGCTATGTTCCAAGATACGTTGGAGATGTACAAAGATTCATATAGACTGGCTCTCAGTATGTAGGTCAAGACTTATAAATGGAATTAACTGAGGAAGAGAAATTCCAAAATGAACAAGCAATAAACGAGATATACTCCCATCCAACAACCAGTAAGCCTAATTTCCTCTGGAATTTGAACATTGAGGTCAAAATGCAAGGTAAAATTCAAAGACTATCCAGTAGAAATCATAATATCAAGTTTGAATCCTCAGAAGATAGAAAGAATGCTATAATTTTAATCAGCGACTAAGAAAAAATGAAACCGATGAGCAAAGATTTCATTCTGTTTATCAAGGATGATACCACTAATAATCCAGTTGCTATTTCAAGTTTGAATTAGTTTGGAGAGCAATCAGTTTTACTTAGCATATTACCAGATTTGAGGATGCCTAAGATAAGAGATAGATTCCATCTCACATACTCTAATAAGTTAAAAACTCAAATTGACACTGATCAATCTTGTGTCTATGAAGATCAATCTAAATATGAGGTGAGAAAGGAAGATCTTGAAAATGATGAAATTGAATATAATCCAAAGGAATATGAGTATATTTTCTTCATTGACAGAAGTGGATCTATGAGCGGTACTAGAATCTCATTAGCAGTAAAAGCTCTTCAACTCTTTCTTCACAGTATTCCATTTGGTTCTAAATTCAATGTCGTAAGTTTCGGCTCAAATTATGAGAAACTATTTGAATCAAGCAAGTTTTATGATGATGATAGTTTGAATATAGCTATCAAAACTGTAGGTAGTTTTACTGCTAATATGGGTGGAACTGAGATTTATCAACCTCTTAAAGATATTTTTTCTCAATTGCCTGATGAAAATCTCCCTAGACATATCTATTTACTAACAGATGGTGAAGTTTCAAACACACAATAAATAGTAGATTTGATTAAGGAGCATAGGAAGTATTCTACTGTGCATACTTTTGGCATAGGTGATGGAGTTAGCACAGCACTAATAAAATAATCAGCATAGGCTGGTCGTGGTCATTACAGTTTCATAAATGATCCTCAAGAAATAGAAAAGAAGGTAATGGAAGCAATCTAAAAAGACTTTTTAGAGTATCTTATTGTCAATGATGGATTTCTACTTAATGCTGAAGGACAAAGAATTCATGAGATATTCCAAGAGGCAAATTTAAGTTACAGTGAAAAATTTGAGTATCAGATATTGTTGAAGGACTAAAATGCTAAATACTTAGAACTAACATTCTTAGATCCTAATACTGGTTAATAATCATTTGTCAAGTAAGAAATCGTAGAATCTCAAAGTGAAGCTGTTAATATGGTAGTATAAAAAAGCTTCATGGATGGGATTAGAGATTTTGAAGAAAAGATAATAGCTTCTACTAAATATTAAATCTTAGTGACAGGATGTGCAATGATAGCAGTTGAAAGAATTATGGACGATGTCACCTAAGAAATGCAATTGAGGAAAATTTAGTTGGTTAAATCGAATGATCAAGTCGAAATATTTGTGAAAACACTAACTGGAAAGACTATAACTATACATTGCTACTTAGATGATGAAATCGAATTATTTAAACTTAAGATTCAGGACAAAGAGGGAATACCTCCTGATCAATAGAGACTCATATTTGCCGGATCATAGTTAGAAGATCATTTATCATTAAATGACTATAAAATAGAAAAAGAAAGTACACTCCATTTGGTATTACGATTAAGAGGAGGAGGAGGTTATTTAGAATGTATTGATATGGATACAATGAGTGTTATCTAAGTATCTCCTGGTAATTCAGGTTTAGATGTAAGAATTGCACTTGCTGGAAAGTTAGGGGTAGATGTATCTAAAATACTTTTATTCCATAGGGGGAAAATATTAAATGACTTAATGCCCATTAACATGCTGTAACTTTTCAGAAATGGTTTAAAAGATGACGAAAAGTTGTATTTCCTAAATTATGACTTTAAGAGTATAGTTTTCTGCCAAGGTGCAAATGGGTCTTGGAATCAAAAGTTATTCAGCAAAGTTACATAAGGAGATTTGAATTCACTTAGATTAAAGCAATCTGATGGTAGAATTAAGGCTTTGGAAGAAAGTGCAATCTTGACATTGCTAGGAATAAAAATACTTTAAGATAAATTCTCACAAAATAAAACTGAATGGTAACTTGTCGTGGCTAAAGGAAAGAATTTTTTGAAAAAATAACATAAATTTACAGATGATATGATTAAATCAATGATTGAGCTCGTATAATATGATGCAAAGTATTGATTTACACTAATTATTGCTCTTGCTATTAACGTCTGGATCTCTTGGAAATTATTATTAACATAATTATTATTATTATTTTATTGAATATAATAGTTTCTAGATATTATTGCTATTTTTGAGTACATGGGGTTTTGGGGTTTTGGGG